TTCCGGTCACCCTTGGTGATCACAGCTGTGCCGTCCATGGGGATACTCATCTTCCCCGCCAGGCACCAGGCCTCCTTGCGCTCATCATAGCGGTAGATGTTGGAGACATACCGCCTTGGGGCGATGCTCCCCCCCACTGAGTACACTGTCCCCCCGCAGGTCACCATGGTGTGGAAAACAAGCCCAATCGGCAGGTCAGGCAACTTGGTCCAGGAGTTGTCATCCATGTCATATCGCCAAGCCGTCTTCAGCCCTGAAATCTGTTCGGTGGTGCCACCTGAGATGTAGATGTAGCGACCAGCAGAGGTGGCACTAAGTGCTGCTGCGCGATAGGGCATCTCCGAGAGCTTCACCCACAGGTTCTCCTGGATGATGTATGCAAAGACTCCGTTGTTGAACTTGCCGTGGGCCTTCTGGCCGCCTAGGATGACCACTGAATCAAGCAGGGCCCCCTTCCGCTGGTAGCTCAGCAAGCTTGTCGGCCGCTCTTGCTTGCGATCCATCAGGACACTCTCAATCAGGGTGGCATGCGACGAACTGTTCTCCATCCCCATCAGCTTGTTGCTGGCAAACATCAGTGTCTTGTTGGAGACAGCATTCAGATTGATGTAATTGAAGAATTTCTTGAAATACTTCTCCCGCTCATCCTTCCGGAAGTACACCCAGCTGATGAGTGCACTGAGTGCTTGGTCCTCGTTAAGCACGTGCAAGTTCTCATCCCGGAGCAGGCGGCCAAAGATGACAGGTGGACAGCGCATGAAGTGCATGGAACCCTCCGGACTGGCCCAGTAGTGGAAATTGTCGCGAATGCCCGAGTAAGCCAAGTCTGACACCTCTTTGAGCTCAAACAACTCAGCTAAGAAGAGGTAGCGCAAGCAGTTAGCACGGCGGATGGACTTGATCAGGAAGTCGTTGCAGTGGATTCGTAGGCGGGGGGTGTTGAAATACTGAGCCCCACGAAGGAGCTCCTCCACATTCTGCTCTGAGATCACCACCTTGCCGCTGTAGAAGTAGTCCAGGAGCTGATCCACTGTGGTTGGGCTCAGGTAATTGGGGTCAATGGTGATGAAGAGCTCATCAGAGGCCTTTATGTCATTGTTGGAGATGAGGCTCTTCACCAGAGGGGAGACTGCAGCCATCACGTTGCGATGAGCAAAGAAGGCATGGTGGTCCACCGTCAGGGCCATGTCCCAGTACTCTTTGTGTTTCCTCTGTTTGTTCAGGTTCTGCAGCATGAAGCTGTTGTAGTTTTTCTCAGTGAATTCCAATTTCATGGTGCTTGTTGCTGGCTGAGGCAGATCAGCAGCGAGTACTGGAGAACACACTTTCTCAGGCCTTTGGGATTCAGATTGATGGCTGGTTGACCAGGGAGGAGTGGGGGGTGGGGTGGGAGGGGAAATGATGTCATACAGTGGGTGCGATCATCACAATGCAGACTCCTCCACATTACTGACCTCACTCAGTGGCATGGGGCCTTTCTCCCCATAGATGGCTTGAATCTGCCAAGGTCAGATACCCCACAAGGACCTAGTACCCGGGTCTCAGACTTCAGGAGGAGAAGGAGAGTAACTACAACTCCACATGGGAACTTCAGGCCTCAGGTCAAAGCTGTTTCTGGAATGTCAGAGCCAAATTGGTTGGGGATAGGGTGAGGGGTGGAGATCAGTGTGCGTCTAGGGAAGACCAGGGATATCTACCAGAATCCTCTTCTCTGAGGCCCAGAGAAGAGAAGGGACTCACCCAAGATCACATGGCTAGTTAGGTGTAGATCTGGACCTGGAACTCAAGAGTTCTATAACTTAGTCCTCTATCTACCTCCCAGGAATCTCCTAACTACTCAACTTACCACAGTCTTTGGTTCTCAGGCCTTGAGGCACCTTCTACCAATAGACCAAGTCCCTGGCCACCAGGAAAGAAAACTCTTGTGCTTTGACTTTTGATTATGTGGCTGGCCGTGGATGCCAGTCTTCTTTAAAATACAGAGAAGGATGCAGGAGTTTGCCAGCCAAGGGAAAATGAGAGGGCCTCCGAAGCCTTGATTATTCAAATTTCGAATTGGACAAACTGGACTTTCTCTCCACATTTTTAAGTTGTCAAATGTTGGGAGCTGTGCTGGATCAGCTCTTTCCAACAAGTGTGGACTTTGACAGGTCGCTCAGACTCCAGACCTCATTTGTGAGATGGGAAAATATTACCTGCTTCAAAGATCACTAAGAAGAACTCAAATAAGAAAATAAATGGAGAATGTTGAGCACCGTGTTTGGTTCACTGCAAACGTTCAGTAAATGCTAGCTGCCGTTGCTTTATTAACGCTATTTATTCATACAATCAGTTGGCCAGGCGCTGGCACTCTCAGTTGCTTCCTTCAGAAATATGGGGTGGTGATTCTTTGAGATTGGAATCCCCTGCCCTCTGGGCCAGCTCCGCACCTCCTATCGCCACTCGGTGGCGCAGCAGAGTCGCTGGCGGGTGGAAGCGCGCGGGTCCTGCCCACTCCAGCTGTCTCCGGGCGGAAGCGCCCAGCGGTTCGCGTTTTCCTGCGGTACTGAGCAGCCCGCTGTGACCCTGGAATCCACCAGGGAGAGTCTCTTACGACCGAACACACACCCGTCCTCACTCTGTAGATACGGCGCCACTGAGTCCCAGACGGAGTGCGCACATCTTGGCCGCCACCGAGGAGACGTCTCAGCTCTGGGTGCCACCAGTAGGTACACCGTGGCTGCAGAGCTCACAAATTCCAACTCCGGGGGCCTCTGGCACTCCCCCCTCCCCGGGGGCATGGGGCTCCCGAGTGCCGGTGGGTGGGGATGGGGTGGGGGGGCCCCTGGGGGGCTGCTGCCTGCACCCAAGAAGGAGATAAGGACCAGATGGAGCACTCCACGGAGGAGGGCCACGCCTGAGGATGACTCCAGAGCTCAGCAATCCCACAGAACCAGCCTTTGGGGGCTTCCAAAATGGGCATTAAACCGCTGGCCAGGGCCTTGGTGAGATAGTGCGGCCAGGCCTGCATCGGATTGCCTCCAACCTGGCTCTTGGCTCTTCTCCTGACTCTGGGTGTCCTCAGCATCCCTACCACGGAAACTCTGACTCTTGGAGCAGGCTTTCTGGCTGGCGCTAGGCGTCCTTGACTCAGACAAGTTTTATGAGGTGCTGGCCCACCTCAATGACTAGGGCTTCTCTGCCAACGGTAGAAGTTAAGTAGGTTGGGCCACCCAGCTTCCCGTTGCCACCACACTCTTCAACCTTGGGGACATTTTTGTAGAGGAGGTAGCTGTGCCCCTTTGCTTTTACTTCAGGTCCCAGAACACCAAAGTCTCTCATCCCACGCTTCACCTGAGGAAAATTGGGCCCAGGGCTGTCCCAGAATCCTGAGGGGGGGGGGGGGTCCAATAGACCAAGTTGCAGTATCAGAACTTGTAAGGCTGGAAAAATTGGGGTTCAGAGGGGGGGGGCTTGCTTGACCCAGAGTGTGCAGAGTCAGAGCTCAGAGCCAGAGGTCTTGACTCCTTCCTCCTCTCTGGGACTACAAAGGGGAGCTGGTGGTCTGGCTGTCCTCTACTCTGATTGCACTTATGGGGAACAAGAATTTATTTTCTGTTAAATGCTTTAAAAAAGTGAGGTCAGTGTTTGCTTCGGCAGCACATATACTAAAATTGGAACGATACAGAGAAGATTAGCATGGCCCCTGCACAAGGATGACATGCAAATTCATGAAGCATTCCATATTTTTCCAGCAATCCCACTTTTAGGTATCTACCCAAAAGACACAAAAACACTGATTGAAAAAGATACCTGCACCCCCATGTTTATTGCTGCTTTATTTACAATTGGAAAAACATG